GGGCCGGCACGGGCAAGCAGGGCGCGGGAGGGGGGGCTCAGGGCCGGCGCGGGCGATAAGGGCGCGGGAGGGGCTCAGGGCTGGGGTTAAGCACTAGAATAAATTGCCCAGGGAGATTGTGGGCTCACAGTCTTAGAGCAATGGTCCCTACTGCACCGCACCGCACCGGGGCGATTAACAAGCAGTACTCGCATAGCAGGGTGCGACGATGTGGATGGCGGGGCTGTTCCAAAGGAGGCCTCAGCAGGGGAGTCTAGTAAAGGTGTGAACGGAACCCTGGGTGGCTGGTTTACGGCGATCAAGGAGGAGCATCCCGAAGAGATGCCAGTCACAACTTGCACCCTTGCGGAATGAGCTCCTACCCCTGTGGGAGGCAGCTGGTATTTGGTAACACAGTGGAAAGCAGATTCCTTCAGAGATCCTCTGGGTTGAGCTCGCTTGCTCAGAGTCTCTCTGTTACAGGGAGGGATAGTCTTGGGGATTTCCTGATCCATCTTGCTCTGTGTCGGTCAAAGGCTCTAGCCTGCCAGGCCCGGGGGCGTGGAGTCTGTCCCTCTGAGGAAGTGTGTGCTTTGCAGAAACGCACCGGTCAGTAGACTGATTGTCTCGGAACTTCACTTAGACCAATCTCGGGAGTGAATCTGGAGTGTAAACATACCGGTCTTCTCTTTAGGGAGCGCGATGTAAGGAGGATCCACCGCCATCCCCCCAAGCTCACCAAGCCGGCTAAGGTGACAGCCACAAGAAAGCAAGGCGGAGCAGGAGTTCAAAGGGCGACCTTGTGAATTCTGAGAGAACCGGGTGCAAGTCTAACTCAGGAAGTAGGTTTGTGAACAGTCAGAAAGATTCCAAGTGTCTTTCCAAAATCTGGTGGACAGTGGGTGAGCACAGACCAAGTTTTCGCGAGCCGGAGGCCAGCGCGCACTCATCACGGTCAGGTGGACTCTCCAGGATCTGCCTGGACAGGCCTGATGTCTTTAGAAGAAAGGTATACGCTAAAATGAGAGGGATGTCTGAAGTGCCCAAGAAGTAAAATCTCCGTTTAGCCAGGATGAATCTTCTAGTGGACTCCTTCCCTACCACTAGAAAGTACGCCTTCGATGGACAGAACATGATGGCCAGACGGGGGTCAGACCACAGGTCCGTCCAGCCCAGTCTCCTGTCTACCAACGGTGACCAATATCAGATGCCCCAGAGGGAGGGATCACAACAGTTAATCTTCATGCGATCCCTCTCCTGTCCCCTATTTCTAGCCCCTGACAAACAGAGGCCAGGGACATCATTCCTATCTGTCCTGGCTAATAAGTATTGATGGACCTAACCTCCATGAATTTATCTAGTTCTTTCTTGAACCCTGTTAAAGTCCTGGTCTTCACAACGTCCTGTGGCAAGGAGTTCCACAGGTTAACTGTGTGCTGTATGAAGAAAAACTTCATTTTGTTTGTTTTAAACATGCTACCTATTAATTTCATTTGGTGATCCCCTAGTTCTTATATTATGGGAAAAAGGAAATAACTTTTCCGTATTCACTTTCTCCACACCTCTCATGATGTTATAGACCTCTATCATGCCCCCGACTCTCCCCTTTTCTAAGCTGAAAAGTCCAAGTCTTTTTAATCTCTCTTCATTTGGGATCCGTTCCAAACCCCTCAGCATTTTAGTTGTCCTTTTCTGAACCTTTTAAATGCTAAAAGATCTTAGAATCATAGAATACTAGGATTGGAAGGGACCCTCAAGAGGTATAGACCTCTATCATGCCCCCGACTCTCCCCTTTTCTAAGCTGAAAAGTCCAAGTCTTTTTAATCTCTCTTCATTTGGGATCCGTTCCAAACCCCTCAGCATTTTAGTTGTCCTTTTCTGAACCTTTTAAATGCTAAAAGATCTTAGAATCATAGAATACTAGGATTGGAAGGGACCCTCAAGAGGTCATCGAGTCCAGTCCCCTGCCCTCATGGCAGGACCAAGTACTGTCTAGACCATCCCTGATAGACATTTATCTAACCTGCTCTTAAATATCTCCAGAGATGGGGATTCCACAACCTCCCTGGGCAATTTATTCCAGTGTTTGACCACCCTGACAGTTAGGAACTTTTTCCTAATGTCCAACCTAAACCTCCCTTGCTGCAGTTTAAGCCCATTGCTTCTTGTTCTATCCTCAGAGGCCAAGATGAACAAGTTTTCTCCCTCCTCCTTGTGACACCCTTTTAGATGCCTGAAAACTGCTCTCATGTCCCCCCTCAGTCTTCTCTTTTCTAAACTAAACAAGCCCAGTTCTTTCAGCCTTCCTTCATAGGTCCTGTTCTCTAGACCTTTCATCATTCTCGTTGCTCTTCTCTGGACCTTCTCCAATTTCTCCACATCTTTCTTGAAATGTGGTGCCCAGAACTGGACACAATACTCCAACTGAGGCCTAATCAGCGCAGAGTAGAGCGGAAGAATGACTCCTCGTGTCTTGCTCACAACACTCCTGTTAATTCATCCCAGAATCACATTTGCTGTTTTTGCAACAGCATCACACTGTTGGCTCCTATTTTGCTTGTGGCCCACGCTGACCCCCAGATCCCTTTCTGCAGGATCCTTCCTAGACAGTCGCTTCCCGTTCTTTTTTGAGATGAGGCGACCACGTCTGTACTAGGGATGTAAGTGACTTGTCAACTAGTCCTGCCCCTGCTGCGCACCAGCCTTTTAAATGTAGTAAGAGCCTGCTGGCTCTTACAAACACCAGGGTCACAGACACCTGAGTTACAAACTGACCGGTCAACCCCACACCTCCTTAGGAAGTACTCAACACACAACCGGCAGCAGAGACAAGACCCCTCCCTCCCAAGAAGCAAATACAGAGCAGTATTGCACTGATGTAAACTACTAAACAAATGTCACAAGGAAACTGTTTCTGTGCTTGTTTCGTTTAACTGAAGATGGTTAAAAGCAACGTTCAGTTGTAAACTTGGGAAAGAACCAAACCTTTGTGTTGAGAGGCTCAGAGAACCTCCACTTCCCAGATGGCCCTAGCTCGCAGGGTCTACTGTCAGCCCTGTGGGGGTGGAACACTTGGCTTGCTCGGAGCTGGATCCGATGGCTGCAGAGTGGATGCTGAGGAGGGCAGTCTCGGTGCCTGAGACTGCTCTCTCAGTTTCTGGGACGATCCCACCAGGGACCTACGAGAGCAGATTATCTGGCACCGGCGTGAAACTTGTTCAATCAGGGCAAGGCCCAGGGGGTTTCCCCACCCTGGGACCAATTGAGGCTTCCTGGCCTTTTCCATAGTTTTCAAAGGGGGAATTCCAGCCCTTTCCAGGAGCAGCTGGAGAACAGGTGGCAGACGCTGCACCTGACTGTAATGGGAGCTCCCCAGGCAGTCCTGGCATGGCAGTCTTCACCGGCAAAGGAGGGCTGTGGGCAGGAAACGCAGCATTGGACGCCCCAAGTCCTGGGTATGGGCCAATATCCGTACGTGGGGAGGGAAAGGGAAGTCCCCCCCCCATTCATCTAGCCCTGCAAACTACGAAAACACTAACAGGATTAGCTGTTCGAGATGCTAAAAACTACGGACAAAACCAAATGGGATTTTAAGGGATGAAGCCAGAGCTGCAGACAGAGGTTCCGTACTGGCTCGTGCAGCTAGGAGAAGTAACTGGAGACGCTGCTAATTTGCACCGCCCCAATTCACTCGGCTAGAGGTATGAGGAGAGGCGAGGCGAGGCGAGGCGCATGCACAGATAGCAGAGGCTATTTTCAAATTCTCCAGCTCCAGGCACACGATGTGCATGAACAACCCACAGCAGAGCATGATGGGGAAGAAGAATCCACAGTTCCCCATTTGAATAAAAAGTTGATCAGATTATGGCTCCCAAGGGCACTCACTTTGAATTCCTTCTCGAGGATTTTCTTCCTAATGTCATTTTCGGTCTGGAACGAGGCTGGATTTTCTGGGCCATGTTCTTGCTGTTGCTGCTACAAAAGAACAGAATACTGGAAGCATTAAAAACACAAGGAGCTTGAAGTTCCACAGTGCCCCAAATACCAGGCTGTGTCCCGCAGGCGTAACCAGTCAGACACGACGCCCCTCTCCGCTGGTGTCTAGCTGACCAGACGTACTCCTCTGCCTCTCCCTCCTCCCTAACCTTGGCTGTCTTAATCTCAATTTCTGTTAAGATTTTTTATCACGCCCGTGGCATGTTCTCTCTAGTACGTTAGACAATGCAACTGCTTGTTATTCAAGGCTATGAAGCTGGATTTTATTTGGACTTACGAATATGTATGTAACCTGTGGCATGTGTGAATGCAAAATACCCAACCAAAGGCAGTTTCGGATCTGTGACTTCTTAAGGCAGACAAAGACTCTGGAAAGAAGATCAAATTAACTGACAAGCGGCCAGGAAGATCATCTCCTTTCAGAAGGGATGTAACAACATGACACCCAGGACTGACTCAGAGGCGGTAGCCCTCCTGCGGATCCGAGGGGATCCAGGGAGAGCCGTGAGCCTCATGGTCGGTGTCCTGGAAGCTGACGCCTGGCCAGTTTGAGCTGCCTGTGAAATTGGAAGTTCTCTGCTACGCCTGCAGCCTCCCTTCACCTGCCAGTCTGAGTGCGAGGGTGAGTATCATCTTACCCTTAAGAATCTGTATTAATAAACTAGCTTTAGTGCTGCTTCAGCTCCCTGTTTCTGGGCGATTTCCTTGGCTGGTCCAGGGACCAGCAACTCTAGGTACTCTAGACGTTAAACAGGCTTTAGGAGATTGTTTCAGAATGTTCTTTCCTAAGCTCTGTGATGGGTGTAAATCAGAAACTCTCCCATGAACTAGAAACAATGACAGGCCACGACTGACCACAACAGTTGCCGCTGTACCCAGAAGAGAGCACAGCTGGGACTGGCACGCCACGCCACGACAGCGATACAGACGCCAGCTGCACACTGTGGAGCAGCAATAATCAATCTGTGCACTTGAGGCGGAATTTCCACCCACCCGCTCCCATCGCTATTAAAGCCCGTTACCACAGCCGCTGCACAGAGCCTAGCTCCATTCCCCTGCAGACTCCAGAACTGCATTCCAACTCTTCTCACATGGTTTCAAACTGTGCAAGGCAAAGCTCCGGAGAGACATACGCTGAGGTACAGCTCAGCAATGGACTAGACGTCAGAGCATCCCCCTCTGCCCTGGCAGCCCCCGACTCCTCACAGCGTGCTGCTGTCAAGGGTTGAGCCACATACTCTTCATATACCATGCCAGGACCACCCCAGCGCCTTCTCCCCACTGGACCAGCCGGCGCCCCCAGCTCCGACACGCCAGCCATCCGAGTCACTGCGGGAGGTACGAGGTTGGCGGCAGGAGAACAGCTGGTTTCTCTCTCTCAGAGTCAAGTGCGTAACCACTAGCAGACATGATTTCCTACTGCCTGGAAGCAGTTTCCAGACCCAAATGAAACGGTAAGAGCTACCAACCTCCTGCTGGAATTGAAAATACAGGGAGTCCTTTTCCAATTCCATTTGCACCCGCTGATTCTCCAGCTCTCCCAGTGACCTTTCTATGGGCTGGATTTCACCTCTCAGGTCCAGATCACTGCAAGATCCAGATCAGGTAAGAATCAGGCCGCACACACAGAGAGTCGCTGCATAAAAGGACAGCGCACGCACAGATACGCTACGGTATGGAATTGAAAATACAGGGAGTCCTTTTCCAATTCCATTTGCACCCGCTGATTCTCCAGCTCTCCCAGTGACCTTTCTATGGGCTGGATTTCACCTCTCAGGTCCAGATCACTGCAAGATCCAGATCAGGTAAGAATCAGGCCGCACACACAGAGAGTCGCTGCATAAAAGGACAGCGCACGCACAGATACGCTACGGTAAGTGCGTCCTTTTTCTGCCTTCATTGCCTGCTGCCAGCAGCAATTCCCTGCGAACAAATCTGACAGTCCCATGCCACTCATTTTGTTTGCAAAGCTCTTCTGCAAGGGTAAGTCCCACGGCTCATTGGCTGGCACATCACACTAGAATCTAGGGCCCTCATACCATAGGGCAGCGGCATGTCCCCCCGTTCCCTATGCCCAGCACCCCGCCCGAGTTCTGGGCATGGGGCCAGGCAGCTGGACCTCAGAACCCACCCCCAGAATTGGAGCCCCACCTAAAACCTGGGAATTCCAGCCCCAACCCCTCCCAGACCAGAGCAGCAAATGTTGAGGGTTTTTTAAACACACAACTGGGCCAGAGCTATGTGCTAATTGGGCCTCAGGTTGAGAGCTGCTGCACTAGACTCGATCCAGAGCCCCATGAAGTCACGGGAAGACTCCGGTTAAGCTAACAGCTTATGGATCAAGTTCCCAGCCAGCAAAGCTGTGGACATTACAGGAAAAACGTACAGAATTACAATGGACTGACACAGACACAGGAGGGAAAAGTTCAGAGCACATGGACTTTTCCAGCTGTGATGATCTGCGTTCTCTGCCGTGGCCAGTAATCCATACGGCTTATCACCTCCCCCCAGCCAGACCAGGACACGTAAGTGATCGTTTCCTGAACTCTGCACACGATACGGCTT